GCCATTCTTTTTCCTACCAGCCCTTGCCAATCTCCAAAGCTGCCATTCCAGAACGGCCGTCTCAGTCGATGCCCTGAACCCTGATCCACGCAGTCCGTGGACTGACTCGTCACTGAGCCGTCTCTTGGTCCTTCAGGTATCTGTTTCTTGGTCCTTTTTGCTCCTAGTAGCTTCTTGTTCCTAGTAGTAAGGCCAGGAGCCCCTAGTAGCGTCCTTGCTCGTAGTAGCGCTGCACTTGTTACTAGTAGCGATGCATTTGTTACTAGTAGCTTGTCACCGGGCTGCGGAAGTAAAACACCTTTCTGGACGTAACCTGTCCACAAAGGGATTTCACCATGTTTCACCCGTCGTGGCGTGTCCGACGAGGATCTTTGGCACAGAACTCTTTGCTCTTGATGCTCTGATCTCCGATGCTTCGCATGTACGGTTGCTTCTTCCTTAGGCTTGTCGAATTGGGACCGGAGGGTGGAAAGGCAATTCCAAAGGCCTACAAGAGGCTACTGGAAACTGAAATCCACCTGAAAACCATACCAAAAAACCTGCGAGCCTATGAGCCGGGCGAACTCAAAGCGAGCCTATCGGCCGGTCGGACCGGTTCACCGAAACGATCGCCCTCGTTGGTGCGAGCAAGATCCCCGGCTTCCAAGCAACAATACACGTAGTCGACAGGGTTCTGGTCCCTAGGGCTCCAAGTACCTTCTAAGAAGGTGTTTGGGGTGGGTTTGAGGGTCCAAATACCTTCTGAGGAGGTACTTGGAGCCCTAGGGAGTGTGAAAACCAAAATGGATATGGCATGTCCAAATCCAGATGAAACGGTTTCGCCGCCTTACCCATCTTGGTTTCGCTGCGGTAAAGGTGGCGTGCTAAGCCAAGCGTGCAAACGTGATCATGGCCTGGTTGTGGACCTCGATTGATATTACTAGTTTGTAGCACTTTGTATCATGTGTACGACTTTGCAGGAAGGGGGGAACATCAACTGCCCGAACCATTCATTCGAAGACATTGGGGAAGTGGCATCACTCCTCCGCAAAGTAAGTAGGTCGATCTGTTGAATCCTTCCCTGCCAGCTCAATCCCAATGCTGCACTGCTCCAGCATTTTGCACCACCCTCCACGCTGGCCCCCACGCGGGGATGATGGGTATGCAGATCTTGGACTTGCAAGCAAGGGGCTGGGAGAAAAACCGACATATCATGACATATCCCTCCAGAAGGGGGATTCACCCATTTGGAGAATAAAACATCCATCTGATCCGCAAAACCGTTTGGCAGGAAGTCAGCTTTGCTGGGCGATTCGTTTCAGCAGCTTTGCTCTAAATCTCGGGCACCCCTTGGAGGACGGTGGTCCTTGCAATTTGCTCTAAATTTGCCTACGAAGTTCTATGGCCTGATTCTAGATATGTCATTTCTAGATATATACAAGACAATTTCAATGTCTTCAGGTCACCGGACAACACTTTGAGGTCTAAGTCTACAAGGTCATCAAGGTCTCAGTTCATCTGAAAATATGTCAGCTGCACAATTGACGCCTGAGAAAGCATTCTTATTGCACAGCAATGATTCTTCACACTGAACTATTGATATGCCACAACATCTTGCAATGCCATACCCAAAACCTCTTATATAATACCCCTAAGGTACTTGGGTAGGGTCTGCGGGACTTTTGGTTATCTTGTGAAGATTTACTTAAAAGCTTCTGGCAAGATTATACCATAGTCTACCCGCCCTAGGCCCTCAGGCTTCCGGGGAGCCACTTACGTCTGAGCTGCCGCTGGTCGCCGGCGAGGCAGTGCCACGATCTTCGCGGTTTGAAGTAATGGATTGGAAGCTGCGGTCGGGTCGGTCCGGGCACTTGGGATGCATGCAGATCTGGTGCGGTCGGTTCTCACATTAACGCGGCTGAAACCTGAGGTCTGCGCTAGACCTTTTTGATGTTCAAGATCTATTCCACTGGTTTCACGTCTTTGGAAGATGGCTCGACTGGGTCATGCAAGTTCGAACTTCCAACATCTCATGGACTACTTTCGTAGCGCCCTTCCCACATCCCGTCGTTCCAGGCTTCCAAGGCCTTCACAGAAGGCCCATCTACGGGTATTGGAAGGTATTTGTGCAAAGCTCCAAGCCATGTGGTCCTGGCATGGGCCTGACAACATCGCCTTTCTTATCAAACACGATTTATATACAGTGTATATATAATCATATTTGTGTGTGTGTGTGTGGGGGGTCTGTGCATGTGGATGCATGTGGGTGTTCTTAGCATTTTTTTGTAGGACGAGGTGTCTGCCTTTCACAGCGTGTGCAGCATGTTGGCACGGAGAGTGCCTATACCGTTACACCGGTTGGGAATTTGTGTTCCTGCCCAAATCTGCTCAGTTTGGCGGGAGCTTCGCAGGCGTTGTGATGTCTGAGCTTCAGCAGACACAGATTCCAATAGCATCCCCAGAACCTTAAGCAATTCAGCTTGATTAAGCTTCAAGAGTTCCACATCATTCCAGGTATAGATCAACAGTTTGCTACTTGGATTCGTAGGAAAGTACCTCGGATATAGAGTTACATGGTCTGCAATCTTCACCTCCAGTCATTCTGGGGAGCTGCTGGGCTCACCCCGATGACGGTCGGTCGGGGTCAGGGGATTCCACAGCCGACGTTGGGCTGGTTGAATTAGACGCGCGAACGCGAAGGAAACATAGACATAGTAACCTTCGGAAAGAAATCAATGATGCGCTCAAGTTGTCTGCTCTTCCGTGCGCTAGATAGATAATATATAAAATGTCTACCTATGTCTACATTTCTTTTTCTCAAGCAGGCTCGGTAGCTAAGGCTCCCGAGCGGCAAAAAAGCCACGCCTTGCTCTGACCAGGTGGAGCTGGGATTCGGTGCTTGACCAGCAATCACAGGTGCCGGGGTGAACTCATCGATCCAAACTACTCAAATCACATCCGAGGGAAGAGGCTCCAAGTGACCATAGGTTCGGGTACCTGGTAACCGTGTAACCCATCTCATTGCCGTTTGAGTCTTGCTCCTGAACATTCGCTCCCCCCTGAGACACCACAAAATGATAGAGGGAGGAACTCCTCTCCTCCGTTCACCCAAGGTCTTCGGCACGTACTATCCCTTTCTTGGCAGGCTTGGATTACGATTTCACGTGCCTCATGTCGCCCACAGCCAGGTAGGTGCCTTGCACGATGGCCGCCCTCGGCTGTATGGTTGAGCCTTACTAACAGCATGGACGTCATTGATATGCTTCAAGAAGACTCCACATCTTTTGCTTCTGATTTCTCCTGGTCAACATGATGCTCAGAGTTCCTCCTACAGCAGCTTCCCACTGCTTCCGCCCCGGAACCCCACTGCACCATGCCGCGCCTGCGACAGCTGTCACGACCCCGAACAGCACCAGGGCGCCACAAAGGAGGACTTTGGCGCGATTTTTGTCAGGCAGCTGAGACCAGCCCGAGAGGCGCATGTACATGACCTGGATGCAAGGTCGAATGGTGGAATGGATGTCATCCATGCGGGTCAGGGAAAGTAGATCTGGTGAAAAAGACTCCCTACAGTTTTGTTCCCATGGTGAAATTGATGTTTGTAATGGGGGCGGTGCCATGAAGACATGGCACTGAGCACTGAGCCTCCCGTCTACAGCCCCTTGGTCATTCTCCTTTTAGGCTGCGGCCTCCTTGAACATCACGTGATAAACTGGTGTTCGCCATGTAGATCCAAAGGCTCTCTCTCTCTCTCTCTCTCTTCCTTCTCAAAGACATAAAGGTCCATGGAGCCAACACCGATTCCATCCGATTCCAAAATGCTGCCCGAGGACGGAGAGACCCGTGCAAAACCATGCAATACCAAGCAGAACCATCCAATTCTCCACTTCGTTCACAAAACAGGGCCATATATATATATATTATAAATATAAGTCCAGCACATTCTAAAGCACACCTCATTCTAGTCCAAACACCGAGACGGCAAATTGGGCGATGTGACCTGTGGTTGGCTTGGCTCCCAGCATGGGCTCACGCCTGTCACAGGCGTGAATCTGCAAACACCTGGTAGCCCTGGCAATCTTCAGGGGCGACCTTCCCTGCCAATAAGATTCGCCCAGGCGCGCAGGGGATCACAATGGAGGTCAAATTCACCAGCAAAGCCCCGACGAAAGACGCTAAAGCAGCCACCTGCTTTAGCACGCCCGAACAGCCCCGCCGGTGGCACTCACCAGGTAGATCTCTCCCTCTTTCCCTCAGACCCTCAGATCTACCTGGTCATCGCCTCAGATCGACCCGGGTCACCGGGTCTTCTATCTTCGTGAGTCTGCGTGCGAGTATACCAACCAGCATCGGGGCCTGCACGGACAGGGAACCTTGTGATTCGCCCTAGCTATCCCATCTCCAAGCTAGAAAGCAACTCGACTCCGGATCTGCCCGTGTCCAGTTAAAATCAACTCCAACCAAAACACACATTCAATTTAATTGCCACTTGCAAACAAAATGAAAAAGGCACATCATGAACTTCTGAAGGATCCTTCTGAAGGCACCTTTTTCCTCTCTCGTCCGTCCGTCACAGCCCGAAGCCACCTCACCGGCCAGGAAGCACGCGGAGCTTCCGGTGAGCAGAATCACCGAAGCCACCGGGAGGCCTGGGCGAAGCCACGGTCTGGGCCTGTAGCGTTAAAGATCAAGCACGTACCGAAACCAGGAAGAAGCCAGTTGGGATAAGATGTTAAACAGTAGAGCGACGTGGCAAAGTGTGATTGTACGCTGCTCGTACGCTGGCGGTGGCTGGCTGCGCTGGATACGCTGTTGACGCTGGTTACGCTGGTTACGCTGATTGCGCTGGTTATGCTGGTTTCGCTGTTTACGCTGGATACGCTGTTCGCTGGTTACGCTGGTTACGCTGACCACTGACCACGCTGTTTACACCGGATACGCCGGTAACGGTTTCAACGGTGTAGACGGTGTAAACGGTGCAGACGGTGTAGACGGTGTAAAAGGTGTAAACGGGGTAGACAGTGTAGACGGTGTACACGACGGCGTAAACGGTGTAGATGGTGTAAACATTGGGATGGTTGTTCTTGTTGCGATTTTTTTAGAGAATGGGGGATTGTGTTGGGAAGCCCGCTGTTTGAGTTGGAAAATCTAGGTTTGGGTAGGCCATTGGCCAACCATCGCGTTTGTCCATATGGCTTTTGGAAACTCAGGCGAAATAATCACCGATGCGATCATCAGAAATAAGATCGACTGATCCATCAATCACGATGCGTCTCCAGGAAAGCCTACAACTCCAGATTGGTCGAAAGTCTGGTCAACTAAACTATCCGGGATTGTCACACACTAGACTATTATGTAAAAAAGACTCTGCCTTCCATGCCCCTATCCAGTTTCCAACAATGATGGAAGTAGTGAGTGGATTGCGCTGTGGTTTACATCTGAATCAATGGCACAGAAAGGCACAAGAATAAAACATAATTAACCAATTGCAGGCCACCGTTCTTGATGAACTCCTGTCGCAGTTCACGCACAAAAGCAAGGCAAAGGTGGGTATCATTGTTTTGAATTTGAAGTCTTTAGGCTTCTGGTGGCTCCTTTGCACAGCCCAGGTCCCCTCCCAAGCAGCAAGTATGGTCATGAGTGAGGTCACTTTCTTCATCCTGTGAGCCTGTTGACTCACTGAGAGAGCCGATTCTTCACTCCGGAAAGCTCTGGACCGGACCGCCCTGTGAAGGTTTGGATGCGAACGCTCACGATCTTCACCCATTCGAAAGCGACGAAAATCAAAAGGTGGGTATGAATCCACCCCTGAAGGTGTGTATTCCGATCTTCACATTGCTGAAGCGACCTCCACTGACCACGTTCGCTCCGGTGAAGGCCGAACCGGTCCTTGACGTGAGGGCCTTCGGGCCAAATCTGCATGGACTGCAGGACCACGCGCATCAAGACCGGCGTGGTGAATTGGATTTTCACCTCGTGGAGGAGCAAAAAAAAACAAAAAAAGGTTCTCCATTCGTTTGGGCCAACAGAGTGCCACGAATGGTGGCACGAATGGAGAATGGTTGTTGGCAAGAAGTGACACACTATCAGTCACTATCACACTCCAGGACCACCACCCAATGACCGAACTTTTACATACTGATTGGTAAGTGACCCTTTACAGACTTATATAAGTGCCCTGATTCTGAGATCTCAAAGGATCACTGGGAAGGTCCTGGCTCCTAGCAAGTTCATCCAAGTTCCTTTCTTGGGGTTTGGAGAGCCACCCCACCGGTGGATCAATCACATCATCATGTGTTCGCACGATGGGTTCTTGAATTTGGTCAACTGCACCTCTTTCCAGTCCTGTTAAAACTCTGGCTCCGTTTCTGCCGAATGTGAGGGCACCAACACGGTCAACACCATCCTTTCGCCTTGCGGCAGGAGCCACGAGCATATCATTCAAACGACAACGAACAACATCCAGGAGTGGCTCCACAAAGCAACCAGTCAACGGACGCGAACAACCAATCAGCTGGGTTCCTGATGTCTAGTTAAATGCCCTCAATCAACCTCTTGTCAAAAAGGCCGGAGATGCGTCCTAGTTCTGATCGAAAACGAAACTTGGCTGAAGGTTCAACCCCCGGCCAACAGGCCCAAGTAAGAAACGCCTGTTCATCTCCAATGCTATCCAAGGAACTGCAAAGAAGGCAGCCGCCACATGTTTCAGCCAACCAACATTCATGTCCTTGCATGGTGATGTGGGCTCAAACACTGCAAATTATCCCCTGCAGTCAGGACATTTCAGGGCTGCACCAGATGATTTCTCTGCTAAGCTTCCGCTCTGACAGAAGTCAAAGAATGAGCCCAGACCCTTCCCTTTGTAACCTGAAGTACGTTCTACCCAGTGTTCTACTATGGATCGCGACAAATCACTGACAATTAAACAGTCACTCATGAGATCTCGTGAGATCTGGTCCTGTGTGAAAACTGGGTGGAGTGTGTCGCCATGTGCCAGGAAAGCCGCTAGGCCCAGGAGCAAATAGTAGACCTCGGCTCGAAGTCAAGGGCAAGTTCTGGACAAGTTCTGCCCATTTCCTGCAACTCCTAAAAACACTTAAACACTCCCTAGAGCAAAGAAAAGGGTACGTGGATGACTGTGAAAGGATGACCCCTTTCCTCTGGTCCCCAAGCGCTGGTGATCCTGCCGGTGATGCCGTCGCACGTCGCTGTCGCGTTTCGTTGCTTTCTGCGATGCCGAAGGGCTGCCGCGATTCCGAAGGACCACAACACACAGGAGCTCCTAGGCAGAGACGAGTCAGCGGTCGTTTCGAATCAGCGTCTAGACGCTGGTCAAACGTGGGGGTGAGTACGTCAAACCCAAACCGGGGAAGGGATGTGAGTCACGGTCGGACGGTTAGGGCTAGCAATGGCTAGCATATGGGCTCCACTGGTTGCCGGTCTTTTTCCGCTGGTTCGTGGACCCTGACAGGTCTAAACAGGTCAACGATGACGCGTTTCAAACCAATGAGACTTGACTTGAATCCACATTGGACTTGACTGTTTGGTGCCCCAATTCATGTTGGGCGCCCCAAGTCGAAGGGAAAGACTGAGCCCACCGTGCTCCTCACCCAGATCCTACATTCACAGTCCAAGGAATCACGGTGGGAAGCCTTTCTCGTTGGCATATTGAGATGGATCCGGGGGCAGAAACAGAAACAAAACACATGCGTCAAGACAGTTAACAGTTATCATCCAACAAAACTGATGGGAGCTGATTCCAGAAATTCAAACCTCCTCAAGTCCTGAGGCTGAAGACCTGTTTTTTTCTCCAGATCTAATCCAGATGGCTTGAATTGTTTGGGAGAAGGCTCACTCGATGTTCTCTGGTCCCCACCATGAAGCGAAGCGGCGAAGCGGCTGGAACAAGGGTCGCTTCTCTGGAAGGTCCGGGAGTCTTACAAAGAAGTTTCTCCAAAATCCCCATGCCAAGTGCCAAGGGTGGAATTAGATGGAATTAGATGATATACAGCAGTGGGTTTCAAGGAGTAGATGGCACCCCGAGATGTCCTGAAAACATGGGCCTTATATATGAACCACGGTTGATGTGAACTCAAAACCCTGTTGAAACATGTTTATTTGGTGCTCCCTCTGACCTAGAAACCTCTAACTTTCCTATACTTTCCGACGTTTTTCATCCTATTCGTCTTCTCGTCGAGACTCCACTGATCCATCTGCTGCATGCCTTCATGTAGTGCAGGCAGGCATGGATGGCCCGCGAAGCAAAAAATGAAGAGCCCATACGCCCGGCACAGGTTGCCTGCAGCGTCATTTTCGTCGCCCCTTGGGGGGGCCATGCACAGAAAAGGGATCTGCTGGGTTCGGGTGAGTTAGGGTGAGTTGTCAACGGGTCGACGTGAGCCAGGAACCCAACCAAACCCTGGCTCATCATTCATCCGAAAGCCCATCCATCCAACAAGACTTTTTCGACATTTCGCGACCAATCGGTCGCGCGAGCTCACGTTGCCAAGCTGCCCAAGTTGGGTTCTAGCTGCGGCGCGGGGAAGCTCCAAGGTCCACCAGTGCCCAAATCCCCCAAGAAGCACCTCTGAGCTGGACATAGTGTGGTAAAATGCAAACCCACGTGCTTTCGCGCCAACCCACGCGGTAAAGGCGCAAGCTGTGATGATCTCCATGGGCAGGGTATCAAGCGAACATAGAGAACTACTAAGAACTATGCATACCTGAGAAGCTGCAAAACGAAAGCCAGCTTATACCCGGCAAGGTGCCAACTACACCTTTATTTTCAAGGTGGCCTGAACAGAG